ATATGTGTAGCAGTTTTGTTTCTGCACCGACTTCAGTAGCCGTCATCGCGAGCCCAACCCCAAAGAATTTATAGCTATTTGGTCTTCAGACTTTCTCATGTGGGAGTCTTGCCAGGCATCTAGGTTCGAGTTTTTGATAAAATTTATAATGCAATTTATAATCAGTACCACAAATGGATCGCACTTGTTTTTTTTTGTGCTTTTCATTTAATGAATCTTTTAAACTGTCAAACACCAAGCGGTCACCGGTGACCGCAACCTATTGTTCTATAATTGTGTCTACAAAACCGGTACTCAACGAGTTAAATGTGATATCGATTATTTAGCTTGATTCGTTATATTTTCTTTTTCGTGTTATTAAAAGTGAATTTGTTTTAGTTGTGTTCTTTAATAAACGTAAAAACGTTTGAGAAATACATGAAATATCAATTTGAAGTAAATATGTATTTAAAAATGAAAAAAAGCCTTGAAACTAATTCAGTTTACATTCCTTTTATGAATTAGAAAACAAAGAAGTTCTTATTTATAGAAAATTTAAATTTATTTCTTTTCATCCCTTCAAACACTATTTATTATTTTACATGAAAGAAATTTTAATGTGAAACAATCCGCTTAGAGTAGACGGAGCAAAATAGAAAAAGAAAATTATAAATGAAACTGAAATCCATTAACAATTCTCTGAAAGTCGTAAATGACTTACTAAAGGTACTATTCTAAAGTACAGGGACAGAAAACAAATTAATTTTTAAATTAGTTAAATCGTAAGAAGTGAATTAAGAACGTTATTCCCATTATCCATTTCAGCAAGATTTTTCTACAGATATTCCTGACTCTTGTTACTCATTACACTTCAAATTAATAGACCCTTCATTTTTTTAGAAAATTAATCAAACTGGCGCTCTGGTTGTGACCTGAATCTATTTAAATACTTAGTTCTTTCTGACCCTAGACTTGTTAGAAAAAGGGCAAGAGAATAATGAAGAGTACCAAGTTATTCCAACGAAAATAGACTGTAATTGAATCCCAATGTGATGAATACTGAAATGAAAGTAAATAGTACTCAACCACTAAGGTATAATTGAACGACAAAGGTATAAGTACCCTCTTACACTGCACCTATTAAGTTCCATGATTTCACTCGTATTACTCTTAACGATACCACGTTAATCCTCCTCTATAAGGAAGCGATACTCTAAATCGCTCCAAATAAGTACACAAATACAAATTATTGTTGCAAAAAGGCAACTACACTAAGAATTTTCTTGAGCAACTCTCAACAATAATGGTGCTATTAAAAACACCCACGAGTTGCAAATTGCAAGTGGCTCGAGTACAATCAAATGTTGATTTGCTTCAGCTGCCAACACTGCTTTGTATGCGGTATAAACTATGGTAATTAAAATTTCGGGAGGTACACTCTGAGTTGCAGAAAGGTATATATGAATTGCAGGAAGGAAATTATAAAACATTTAGTGTTGTTGTAACGAGAATGTGTTGGATAAACCCAATATAGAATTAATAGCTTCTTGTTATAAAACTATTTGAAGTTGTACACCCGGAAAGGCAAACGACACGCTCAGTTAGAGAAATAGCGTGACACTTAATACTAAGAAAAGACAATATACCGGAAGAACTCAAACAATAATAATTCATTTTTCAAAACAACGAATTCAATTGAAAAATTTCTTAGCTCCACAAATCACGTTATCAGCCCTTATTCTAGGGTAGAACTTGGCATACCAAACATGGAGAATTCTTGAAATGCCTGCATATCGTGAGCTACAGTTGTAAGGCCGACATTATAGTGAGGAGACACGAAGTTGCCCCGCTACTTGTACGACACTTTTTCTACGAACTCAATGTAAATTGTTTCAAAGATTTCGCGTTAATGCAAATGACTACGTTAATCGCTTTTTAGTGCTTGGCGGAGTAAAGTTGTGCGAGTTTTATGCTTTCAGTAATGAAGGGGTCGTGGGATGCAGTCCGACTCGGGAAATTATATTGAGAATAGTCATGATACGTGTTTTGGAATAGGAGTTTGTGCTTTAGAAATATCTCCATGTAATTTAACTCTGGGACGATAAAATGCGTTTAATGCATGCGACATTAACACAACTACGCAAGTAGATAAAATATTTGTCTGATTCATAGACACGTTACTCGTAGTGTGAAAATAAAATTCTCTGTAAACGCAGTAAAGTTGGGTGAAATACTTTTTCTAAATGTTTCTAGAGAATAGCAACAACTAAATAAAAGTACGATAGATAACCTTGTGGAACAAAACTGTTGCCGTACTCTTAGCTTCACGTCCAACAAAAAACGTTAACAAAAAATAAAACAGCCAGTCCGGTCGGTCGCTCGCTACATAATGATCCAAAGCTCCGCCCTTAGTTAATTTTGCATTTTTTTGCACACAACCAAAAGCTAAATTTTAACGTCCACTTTTTTGGCCAATAAAAGCATATCGATTTCATAATTATTGTCTAACGAAAAAAAAATTAAGAATATGGTTTTTGCTAGCGATTCGGTTGCGGATTTAAAGACAACTTAATTCTTCATGGGCTACCCCTTTTTTGCCAAGAGCAATTAGTCATAGATCAGACGTATGATATCAGCCGCTATTACAGATTCTAAACAATCATCATTTTTTCCATCACTCAATAAGTCGTGATGACAGAAATGTTGCTAATTACGGACAATCAGTACAATTAAATATTGCAATGATAGCGGTAATCGTTTCCTTATATTACGAGCGATACACGTAGGTACATACGTTTTATTTCCTTGTATCTGATTGGTAACGAGAGCTGCGCAAACTGAGGTTATCATGGTCGGGGAGTTAAAGTGTCGGCTCGGAGTGTATGAACTCTCGAGAAAGACTCGCTCGGCCAGCGGATGACTAAAAATACATTGTTACGTGTTGACATTGAAATGTTAATGCACTCTCCGCTCGACGCATTTCATGGATACAGCATGGCCTTAATATCATATGTCTTTTTATTTTATTGATTGTTTTGACTGCTATAGCTTCATTTCATACGATATCGCGTGAGCCGGTGTTTATAATGCGATAATGCGAAAAATTCATAAAAGTGTTGCGATGTCGTTGCTCCCGACCGTGTTTTTCGTATCGCCGGCGTCACCCGCGTGTGCAGTGGATTTATCACCGTCATGAGCGTACGATACTTTATTTTATTCATTACCGGCTACTGAGTTTTATGAAACGTTTACGCTTAAGTGTCCATCTCATTTGTTTCACGGTCGCTTAATTTATTGCAGCGTTCTATCGTCAGTCTTGGGTTTGTGCAAATCTCTGTACGTGACCTAACGTATAATTTCATAACAGTTTTTGGTTATCGCTTGTCTAATTAATGTTGTCAATTCGTTCCTGTTTCAGTGCTACGAGTAATCAATATTAAAACTTCACTTGCATCCGCATAAATATGATGGACAGGTTATTTTGTCTTCCCAAGGTTTTCGTAATAGATTCAAATGTGAGATTTTGTAATATTTAGCCGTTAAAAATTTCAACACTAATTTCCAAGGTTTTGTTTTACAACCCAGTTTAAATTTTCTTGTTCATATATGTTTTATTCAGTTATACCTATATTGCACATTTTTTTCAAATTCGACTTGATTTTAATTTTAAAATTATTTTTATCGTAATCACGTCAATAATTTAAAAACTGGTTGTTGAGAGTCTGAAGATTCTTAGGGCTTCCAGTTCATTTTACGATCGCTTTTATTTTTATGATAATATGTTTTTAATTATAATATTTATTAGTTCTTTTTAATTTATCGTTTTGTACCTGGCCATCGTTATTCTCGTCATTCGTTTTTGAATATGAACCTTTTGAAACTGTATTAAAATCTGAGACCATAAAATGTGAGGGTATAATTTTACACGACTAAAAAAAAATCGAAGTTAAGATTAACAAAATTCGTGATACTAAAAGTGTGTTTAACTACACGTGGATTTTTTATTGCAGTGGCTAGTGGATCGCATGTCTGTGCATCGTTACTCCTAGTTAGTTACCAGTTTAGTGAGCGAATTCAATTTCAGTGTCTCGGTAATGGCTGCGTCAGCCAATGAATGTTTATTACGATTATCTCCCAGATAATAGGGGACTAACCCTTTTCAACCAGCACACACCGAAATTACAAATTGTTTAAGTTAAATGGCCCGTTTGAAGGACTAGCATTTTCACACAACGACCTAGCAGAAATTTAATTAATATAACTGAATGCTTACTCGTATGTGGTTTTACTGTTTTGGATAGTAAAATGAGATTTATTGAGTTTAATTATTGAACTTCATTTACAGTTGAGGTAATATTAGAGGTATAGGTGATGAAAATGAAGGTAGGTTTTACAATTATAAAATTAGCATTATACTATTTTCCGTATAATTAGGTTAAATTATATTTTTCCTTAATATTTATAAGATTTGTAATGTTGTTATTGTTTACATGAAGTTTATCCTTTTGCAATATTGTGTAGACTACTTTCTGTGTGACAAAGTTATATTGCGCGTAATTGTTTGTTTTCGTAGTTGCGTTTTATTTAGTTATGTTTCCGCGCAGTGTCGTAGATTCGTAGATATTTTTCCTAGTGCGTGCGTAAATATTTTTATTATTGATAGATAGAATTTTAGATAAGATTTTGTCGATTCGGATTTTCGTGACTTGCTTTTGTTTTGTTTGTGAATTATTTTTGTAATTTATTTTTTTAAGACGCAATTTGATTGAATTTTAATTTTATTTCGATTATGATATTTTTTCCCTAGTACCTTCGTATATTTTTATTTTTCCTCTAACGATTTAGTCACATTTTTATTTTTGGTAGGTAATTTATAATATTTTATTTAACGGATTTTATATTTGTATTATTTTTCTACGCGTTGGATATAAGTTGTTCTAGTTTTTAAGTTTGTTTGAACTTTTTAAAACTTTTATTTTTCACTTTAGTCACTTGTAAAAAGTTTCAAGTCGTGGACTTACCTGTGTGGCATCCGTGTAAGGGGTTGATGAATTTTTATCGACGAGCTGGGACCCGAACACGGGTACTCCACTCGACGTTGGTGACAGGGACCTCACATCCGACACTTGTTGGGGCACCATTTTTATTTATCCAAAAAAATAAACCCCAAATAAAACTTAACACAAAAAAACACAGTTCACCTATTGCACTTAAAAACACTAAAAGACTAATTTGTTTGAGTCCAAAACAAATTCATAAGTTTCTTAAAAAATATTTATAACAGTCCAAATGGGGCAACAAGGAGCCTCTGTTTGTTCCCGAACCGCAGCCTCTCGGCGGACGAAACTCCGGAGACCTCCCAGTACCTGGACACTATCCTAAAAGCTTTCTCTTCTAGAACGAGATATCTGCTACTATCTTCGTCGCCGGCGAACAGTCCAAAAGTCATAATTTTAGCGGTGTCCCGACCGCAGTTCAGTTAGCACTGCGGGGCGATCGTGTCATAATCAATCGGGAGCGACGAGTGGTGTGGGCTTTATGCGGCTACGTTCGCACTCCGCGGTGACAGAGAACCTACTGACTGAGCGGCAACGTGCTGTCAATATACCCGCGCTCAGCTGTTCGCCCCTGCCCCGCGCCGCGCAAGCGCCCCGCACTCCCCCCGCGGCGCACTCTCGCGCCGGCGGCCGGCAGAAGCGCACGCTTCCTCCGCGCTTCCCGCTGTACCGGTCCGACCGGTCGTCGCTGCGAGCCGTGCCCGGCTAACCGTAACCCTCAGCCCACGGTGGCCGTTTTAAATGCAAATTTTAGATGTATGAACACTTATTTCGGAGTTTTACGTAAGTATCAAGTTGTGTTGGCAACTGTTCCAACTAAACTTTATGTTTATTAAACTTTTATATGCGAACACAAACTAATGGGGCAATGTTTACATTTATTACTACGGGAATTCAAAATTAAACTAACTTAGATTTCACGCTACGCGGTAGCTCAATTAATTTGTACTACCTACTTATTGTTTATTTACATAATAGTCTTTTGAGTATAAACTGCATTCGTGTGGTCTTATAGAAATAATTTTACTATTATTTACTTAGCTGTAATATATGGGCATTCATTTATAAACCACTGTTAAGACAACAGTTTAATTACTGTTATTACCACTAATATGGAAGCTGAGTATTTAAATGGGGTAGACAGACATTAAAAAGTAATAAAAATATAGTACATAGGTACGTGAATAATATATTTTATTGAATGTGACATCTGTAAATACAATCATGTTACGTATATAATAATAAACTATACATATTCAGAATATAACATCAAGCTTTTTAGATCATATATGGTTAGGCAGAGGTGCACACATATGTACAATATGTAACACCACTTTTCAGTTCAAGATAATTTCCATACACTGAAAAAAATTCCAAAAATTAATTACGGAAAATTACAAAAAAATCAAATAATAATTTTACCCAACCTGGGATTCAAACTCAAGACACCTTACTCGACTGTCGAACTTACTACCAATAGATATACGAGACAGACATTTTAATGAACTAATACAAATACCTAGATAATCTAGGTATTCTCACGGCTAGATCTCATTTAGCTCGGCTAAGGGCGACCTAACCTTAGGTAAGCAAACCACTAATTATAATAATAAGTTAATCTATTGTACCTTCATAATAAACTGTGTAATCATATTAGACGTGAAACGTTGTTATTTTGCTGTGCATTGCAGATATTGTGTTGTCTTTAAACTGTCAAACACCAAGCGGTCACCGGTGACCGCAACCTATTGTTCTATAATTGTGTCTATAATGACGGTACTCGACGAGTTAATTTGTATATTTTGTTGTTACACACAATACATATATCTATAGTTCTATTTTTTGTAATAGATAATAAAATAATCGCTTTTTACTATATTTATATTATATAAATACACACATAGGTCGCTATGTCTTGTCGCTATTGCTTGTCTTGTTGGCTGAGTGAAAAGTGGGTGTTACATTGTACAGTGGCATTAAGTGCCGAAACGTGCACCTCTGTCTACCCCTTCGGGAAAAAAAGGCGCGATGTTATGTTATGTTATCAATACATAGTATAAAACAAAGTCGCTTTCGCTGTATGTCCGTATGTATGCTTAAATCTTTAAAACTACGCAACGGATTTTGATGCGGTTTTTTTTAATAGATAGAGTGATTTTTAAGGAAGGTTTGTATGTATAATACATGCATATTGCACCCGTGCGAAGCCGGGGCGGGTCGCTAGTAGATAATAAAATAATCGCTTTTTACTATATTTATATTATATAAATATACACATAGGTCGCTATGTCTTGTCGCTATTGCTTGTCGTGTTGGCTGAGTGAAAAGTGGGTGTTACATTGTACAGTGGCATTAAGTGCCGAAACGTGCACCTCTGTCTACCTCTTCAGGGATAAAAAGGCGTGATGTTATGTTATTTTATATAATATAAATATACATACGATACACATACCAAAATAATACTTTTTACAGATTTTTGTCCGTCTATCTCTCTGTTTACCTACTGGCTAATTTCTGAAATATTCTCATTTCCGACTACAGTTTAACATCTAGTAATATGTAAAATTTTGCTCCAAATAACATAACATAAC